TTGGATTCCGGCGGGGATTCCTGATCCAACTATGGGCTACGACACACACACTCACACACACACTAATTAAAAGAGATGAAATTGCTAGCTTGCTCTGTTTGGTAGCTTGCTGTTTCAGTTTGCAGGGGTGGAAATTGTCAATAATGGAGTAGGCGCTTAACATAGCTCTATAATAGGTTTGACGTTATGCCTTTCTATAGAACGGCAACCTACTAGATATCCATCTGGAAGATGAAGTTTATTTTGTTGCAGTCTCGCATGTTTAAAATCAAGCGGACGAACATGGAGACCTCGCCACCGGTGTCATGTAGACGTAGAGATGGAACTCTGACTAAGGTAGGGTAAACACTAGATTGTAAACTTGACCCTTTGACGACTAAATCCTTGGTGGGTGATCAGCTAAAGGAGCTCTCACCTCCATGGCTTGTGAACTGCAAATTTAACGGTAACTACAAATTACTCAGATCAAATAGAAGGCTTTACGCTTGTTGTGTACGTTAACCTAAAATGGGACTTATGTCTTTTTCTATTTTTCGTGCATTTTAGCCCCACAATCGCGTAAAGCATAACCTCGAAATGTTCATCTTCAACAACGACGAAAAACACGCATATGACTTCTGACGTCCGACTTCTGTGACAGTTCACTCTTCGCCTATTTATTGCGAGCAAGATCATGGATCCTGATGAAATTCCCTACCAGGGATTTTTTTACGACTCTCAATCATCAGACATCGTTGCCAAAGTTATATTTAATATATTTATTTTTGTTTCGATCGTCTTGTCAATTTCTTGGGTACTGAGTCGTCAGGTAAGCTCATTTTCACCACTTACATTCAGTAGCGTTCAATCTTCTTGCCGATTTTTGATGAGCAGTTTCCAGATGTTTCCGCGCTACTCAAAGGTAGCAGCGTCAGGTTTCTTGCGAACTATCGTATTGGTGTTCCAGATGAGGTTCTTTATGTACATACAGGATCTCAGTATATTTGCATGGTGGAAAAGTGGTATCTTATGGAACAAGTTCGTCAAAATACTGCTCACTTAAAAATCTTCACAAGGGCTCCAGGTCGGTTAAAACATTTCTTCTGTTTTAAGGCCTCTCAACATACCCAGCACCGTTCCTTTTGAGGAATCATTCGTTTCAAATGAGCTCTTATGGCATAGTTTCTTTATGGCTAGAAAGCATTCCTTAATTATTATTTTAAGTTTCGTTAGTATTCCTGGCACGATCTGTTAATCTGATATTTAGTTTACCGTTGAGCCGTCTGGTTTCCAACTGAAAGTGTGCCCTTACTGCTAAAATCGTTTCTTCGATCTGCATAAAACAAGTATTTTAAAGGTTATTGTGACTAGATAATTGAACGCTGACATCTGTTTTTATCTGTTTTATTATTACGGTGTGCTCCAAAAACAGAAGGAACCAGAAAATAAGAGTCTTAACTAAGTAACCTATGCCTCTACTCATAATTTAGCGTCCTTTGGATACTATGAGTAAGAACCACGTATAGTTGTTCTCTAGGCAGCGCGAAAGTGGGATTAGCAAACCAGGCATACAGGAATTGTATATGTGCGTCAAAGATAGTTGTTGTGGTTGGTAGTTAACGCATCCGTATATAGGAACAACGCGAAGTTTCCATAACAATTATCGTCACTCCAGATGGCCCGCATCTAAACTTTTTGTTTTCAAACATAATTTCTTTATGTACCATCTTCAACTGCCCCGAAGTCAATCGCTGGGTATGCAAATCTTTTTGTTAATAAAATGCCTAATTGCAGAAAAATAAGATAAGGAATTACTTGTAGACTGGGTAAGCCTTGTCTAGTCATCCTGCAGTCATTTTTTAAATGTTCTTTCAATTTTTTACGCATTCTTCAGAACACTTTAGAAGAGACTGGCACGGTTTAGCGTTTTCGAATCCATTCACTTACGGCTACAGCGAGTTTTGCACTCTCTTTGACCTATCTCTGCTGAATTTTCCTAATTTTGCTCATCATGATGGCGCTCGCTTCGGACTCCAACGTTTTTCCCAGTCCCTTGAACTTCAGCAGTGCATTACGTTGGATGCCTTGAAATTCTCTCATGTGGCTTTGCATATAGTATTTGCGACTGTCCTACTGCGTACAGAACACGGGAAGCCGGTAGACCACGCCTCTGGAGAGATAGGAAAAGTGATTCTGAATCTTGACAGGCTCCTTCACAGTCTCTTGCAAATTCATGTGGATGGCAAGGTTCGGTCCGATTTGGATTTGAATGTCAGTACAACTGATATATTAAAGACGACAGACGCTCTTTTTAACCCACTGATTCTACTGGAAATTGAAAGAGTCACTACTGTCAAGATGGAAGAAAAGCCTGCACTAGAGGAGGAAATTGACGGTTGGAATTTCGTCCCCTCCTTGCAGTCCGCCTGGACAACCAGCCTTTTGTCACATTTGCTTTCCTATAAGTCTCTGCTGGAAGAGCAGGAGGGCACTGATTTCTCTTTCCTCACATTGCGCCATATTTCACACAGCCTCTTGGAGCTTCTCATGCTTGGGAAGCATACCCTAGCTGTCTGCCTGCATACCTGTTTACTCGTTATCGCTGAGAGGCCAGACTGGCAGGCTCGCCTTCTGAAAGAAATTACGACGCATGTCGTGGAGTGCCCGCATGCAGAAGGCTCAACGGAAACACATCTCGCAGTAAGATTTATATGCCACTTATGTAATCCCCTAATTTTCATACCAACACAAAGATTTAGACGAATCCATTCAGTTTCAGAAATTTATCGCGTAAAGTACAGTGCATATACGAATGAATTTTTTTATCTAGTTTATAGTACCTTCTTAGAGTTAAAGGCCACTGTCACGATGCAGTATCCAAGGGATTTATGGTGGACATGCGGACTTCAAACTGCACAGAATAGGCGCATGTGATCGTATCTCATCTGAGGTAGAGCCTTTGCAAATGAAAGCCAAATTCAGGAACGGCCTAGCTCCGTGGCGTTCGCATCGTGGCCCATACCTAATTATTTTCAGTCATCTTATGCAGATTAGCTGCGAAGTCATGGAGCTTTATCAGCCACTACGTATTGACTAACGAATTGGATTATATCAACTCACAGTTTAAATTAATTAATTTCTTCTCCGTACTGTCACTTACGATGCAATGTTCGAGGACCAAACTCCGAAATGTTCCTTTTAAATCTTCCCAATCGTTCATGCCTGAACGCACTAGTCGCCACCAGTGAAACACTAGTATATTTTATCGAAACCATAAATGTTTATTGATCAATGGCGGTAAACGTAAGTCGTCATTTTACTAAAATACCCAGGTCTAAACAGGTTCCGCCCCTTTTCTTATGTGAGTAGCAGAAAGATATCTAAATCCTGTTCCATTAAAATCCGATCAAATAAATGCTCTTTCTTAACTGTAAACAATATCGTCGTATAGTAACCGAAAACCTACCATGAAATCATGGAAGTTCGTTCTACCCATGGACTAGCTACCAAGGCTAAAGAACTGACGGTCAGAACTCAAGCATTTTACAAACAGATATAGATTTAGCATAATTAGCACTCATTATGTCACCATTCTTCTTATGCCTGCTTACAGGGTGTAAGGGGTGTTAAGTATTCGTTTCGGTAAATTGGCATTAAACCGGCCGCACCGTTACAAATGGGCATTCCATCTTGATCTCATCTGTGGTCCGAACCAATAACCATATATTTCCACTAGCACAGTGACAATGTTCCTTGTTTAATTTCCAAGGGAATCAATGCACGGAGCTTTAGTAAATGCTTACGAACAAATCTTTCCAGACCCAGTAAAAAATGACCCCCGTGAAGTGCAGGCCTCTCGCTACAAATCAGTTCATGTACAGTTACTACCGCTTGCTTGGAGTAGTGGCATCGAATGTCATGTTCCGGAAACGATCAAGTACTTCTGACCTGATTCGGAAGTTAAATGACCCTTAGCATTGTATAAGTGCCAAGCATTAGTTAGCTCTAGGACCTGCAGTGAGTCAAGACGTGAAGCGCGACTGATAACCATCCCAGTAATTCCACTTCAGCTTAATATCGTCTAGTAAAAGCAGTCAGCACTGACTCCGCACAGTCTGGCCGCAACCTACCCATCCCAAACAGTCCCCGACGCATCGCTGTCTGTGGACTTTGCCGCAATTGCCGGGTTGGCATGCCCAGTTCTCTCGAGTTCAAATATCAGACCACCGACCTTGGCTTAAAACGGATTTAGAATATTGGAATTCACAACCAAATAATCCGATGCTACGGAGCCTCTTGTTTGCTTTACGGACATAAAATCACCAATTTTTTTTTGAGAGGCTTTTGGGTGTTATAGAATAATTATTATCACACGACTGTGGCCCCCTCTCCCATAAAGCCCTTCTGCAAAATAAGCCTTAATACCTCAAAACATATTGAAAATTGCATGATTAACATACGTCATCTTCGCCCCACAGGACGAGTGCTTCGAGATAGAGGCTGACTGCCTCCCCTGGGCTAAAGCGTTGTGCTTGGAGACCCTGCGATTCACAGTAGCCGGTTGGCCATTTGATGCACTGTTTGAGGCCACGCGGGACGGTCAAGTCTGTGGCTATAACTACAATGCCGGTGACCTCCTATTGCTCAATGAACCGCGAGTCTTCCACGACCCCGGTGTTTGGTTTGGTGCCGCGGAGAGGCCGGCTGCTGAGGTTTACGACTCAATAAGCAGTGAAAGAC